TTGTCACATCACCATCATTTCATCATCATGATGATAAATAACATTATTCTAAAATTAATGACTGCGAAAAATATATTCCATATATACATGAAAAAATTTGAACGGTTAATCTTCCAGAATATTAAATTCATGTTTGATGGTCATTATTGTGTAAAAATAATTTTTTGAATAGTAATTTTTTTGGGAAAATGTGCAATTAAAAAGTGAGGAAAATTTTGAATTTACGTATAAAATATTTTATTATGTGAATGTGATTGAAAATGAGTATAAAAAATAAATTTTGAATTTCACCACATTCAATATTTTTTTTAATTTCCTACATATATTATGGTAAAATATAATACGAGTTATAAAAATATAAAATATTATATGGATTAATAAATATTCATTCATCCATAAATTAATAAACCTCTAATATAAATTTTTTTTCGATCTCAACATTATTATTTTTTAGAGGTTTTACTGTAGAGGGAAATATGTTGCACGTAGAGATGTTGAGTTACCATATTTAATTTGAATTTTAGAAAGGAAAAATTATGTTTCCATAAATATTCAAGAATATAATTTTAATTGAGAACTCAAGTAGTTACATTTGTGACATCTGATAAATGTTCAGACTAAACATTGAAATTAAACATATCTCGGTCACATAACACAAATTATGGTTCACCTACACATAACAAGTCACAAATTTTGCAAGATCACAATAAAAAAATTTCATCTTCTTCAACTAATCCAATGGAAACCACCACCCATCAAATTGTCGCTGTCCCAACCACCATTCCACCCAGTGGCAGAGCCAACACTCGGCGAACCAGTGCCATCGCCGGTGCTTGCTCTATCGAAATGCAGCATAATCGACGATTGTCAGGGAAATGGCGCAGGGACACACTGCTTAAGAAGATGAATTGAAATTGGTTTGTGCCTTTTTTTTTAAACTAGTGAAATTGTTTTAGTCCCCTTTTTAATTACATTAGGCCAATTAGCCATTGCCCAAAATCCAAAACCCTGTAAATGTAAGCAAATGTTTGTTCACAGGAATTTATTTCAATTTTCACCCAATTTCCTTCATTTCTCTGATTCTATCTGCACGCCGTGGACTTGCTTGTGACCTACCATCTGCCATGCCACCGACTGCCATCAACTTCCTCCGCTGGTTTTAGTGTGTAAGTTTGTAATTTGTTTGCAAAGATTAATTTGGAACTTTTGTTCCTGCTTCCAGGTTTTTTGGTTTACGTATAATCCTTCTTTCCTTCTGCTAATTGTGAGTGAGCTGTTGGTATTCTAGTTGGTTGGTATTTGATTATTATGTGACTGTGATGATTTTTATGATTTACCTATAAATTGGTGATTTGAAATTTGGATTCTTAATTTTGATGATTTATAAATTATTTCTACAATGTATCTATACATGATTTAATGTAAATATATATATTGCATTGACTTTATTTTCATCTTAATTTTTTATGGGTTCTCGAATATTTACCAAAATTACTTGTACATTGTATCTAAACCTAGGTTTCAAAATTTATTTTCTATCGTTTATTTTTGTCTTTTATTTCGATACGTATTTTGGCGTACTATGTAGGAGTTGGATAGCTTAAAGATAGGGCAACGTGATGGAAGATTGATTTACAAGGTGACGAGAGATTGATAGTATAAAGTTTATGAGACATTGACGAATGTAGTTGTCTAAGCTTATAGTTACAGAGTGAATATCATGTTTTTTTTTTTTTTGAATTGTTTTGAATTATATTTTCACATTATATGATTTTCACATTTTAGTACATTTACGTATAAATTGAAGTATTTTAATATTATTTAATTAAATATTAATAAACGACATCAATATTACGATCGTTGACTGTCATCGATAAATGATCAACAGTCAACAACCGCCTTAGCTGAACAACAAGTCTAGATTCGTCACCGATTCCACCCACCCATTCCAAAACTTCTCCTGCATTTTTCATTTTCATATCAGTATCCTACTACACCATCACCAACTAGCAATGCAAACTCAAAATCACCATCGATCGCGGCCTAATCTTGGTGGTGATGGTATAAATCTGGCAAAGAGAACTTTCTTGATATTGGAGAATTGTGATGTTCGGACATCTAACATCTACATACGTTGAACCACCACGTCAATGTAGCCCGATATATTCGGATGAAGTTGGAGAAAGAGCCCCAGTAGTGTAGCCTAGCACCACCCACTCCAACAAGAAGAACTTATTTTTGTGAAAGAATGAAGGAGGTATGTGGGTGGATTGGAGCAGGAAGTAGTGCATATGCCTGATTTTTCATAAAAGAAAAAAATATTAATACTTAATTTTGAAATAAAAACTTGAAAGTAGGGATTTACGTAATTTTTTATTTGCGAAATTGGTGACGTAACAAACTGAAATTTGCCAAAAACATAATTTATAATAATATTTTATTGTTTGATTTTTCAAACAAAATAGTTGGAAAAAAATTCCTTACGCAACGCAATTGGGTAGGTGAACAGTTTAAGTTTGATTGACATGTGCAGCCAACCTGTTTTTGAACGTGAATCCATCACTTCAAGCGAATTTCTTATTTCCATTTGATAATATCCATTGTTTATCGTCTATTTTCTCCGTTACTGTTCTTAAAAATGGCACATTTTGGAACCTCAGAAACCTACGTTTGCACTGCCATGCCCTTGCTAATAAAAAAATCCGTGTCAAAAGGAAAAAAAATTTCCATATCTCATTATTAATTGTAGTCTGATTTGAAAACTTCTGGTAAACTGTTCAAATTCAGTTATCAACAAATGTTGTTCATATTTTTAAAGAAATAGAAGTTTGAATTTGAATTATTATTTGTTAATCAAAACTCGATTGAAAACATAGTTTCAACCAACAATGGACTAGAAAAATTTCATAACTAAAAAGAATAAAGCTATCTATATTGTACAGATAGTGTTATAGATGCACGTGTGTCGATTTGCTTGAATTGCAAAAACGATTATGTTACATGTACACAATAATTTATATACATATGATGTAGTGAAATATGATTTGGTCAGAATTTCTTCAACCAAATATGAAAAAAAAACTTATTCGCTCTATTTTTGACACCTCATCCATATGTAAATCATTATATACAAATAGTTATTATAAACTAGAGAGAAAAAATAGAACAAAAGAGAAATAAGCCAATAGAATTGTGTATTCTATTAAGAACTGGTGGGACAAAACTTGATCGAATGAAAAAGAGTACATCCGCTCTGTATCAATCCATCATTGTCTTGTACGTCAATGTCTTCAATATTGCAATTTTTTACGAAGCATGTCTCATATTGTCTTGTATAATTTTCAAAAAACACTATCTTTATATGAGATATTTATCAATCTTTAACGACTGTAATAATATGATGATTTAAAAATAACACTATCTTCAGAAGTTTCATACATATTAAAGTATTATTTTGAAGGTAATTTACCTTTTAGGTTATGGACATTTATCATACAAAAAATATACCTAGTTACATTATTAGAAAAACTCCATGGAAAAAATCATCATGAAGGAAGAAAAGAATACATTATTCTTTTGAGTACGCTAAAAATTGTTTCGTTAAAAACGTTGCTGGAAAACTCAATGAGGCAAAACCTCGGTCAAGGAAAAAAAGAGTATAAAACATATTTACCCCCTCATGATAATATCACTTGAAAATTGATTCATGCATATTAAATCATTCCAGGATAGTATCAAAATCATATAAGATAAATTGTTTATAATCATATTTATTACATACATATCAAATTTCATGCATGTCACGCTAATGAAATATCGACTTGTGATTTACATCCACCATTTGATAATTTATTTATTTATACAAGTTTTCGCAAAATT